TCTCTCTCTCTCTCTCTCTCTCTCTCTCTCTCTCTCTCTCTCTCTCTCTCTCTCTCTCTCTCTCTCTCTCTCTCTCTCTCTCTCTCTCTCTTCAATGAGATATTGCAGCCCTTCACAGCCAGTGGTTCTTTAGAATCGCAGTGGTGGCCACATCCGTCATCACTGCCACTTCCTTCCTGGCCATCACTTTGATCCTCGCCACGGGCCTCATCTGCAGCACAACAAACAGTTCTTGTCCCACATGCGGCTGACACTTTCTCCTTGTGCTCGAGGGCCTTCGGTATTCTTTTTCTTATTTGTAATGTTGGCTTCCTCCTCCATTCGATATTCCTCCTTCGTCCCTCCAATCCCCTTCCCCCTTCCTTTGTCCTCCTGCCATTTCTCCCTCCTCCATCGACCATTCATATATCCGCCATTTCTCCCTCATCCACCCGGCATTCCTCCATCCATCCCCCCCCCCCTTTTCTATTTTTTCGATTTCCCCCCCCCTCCATTCGCGATTCGTCCTCCATCCTTCCATCCCCCTTCCTCCTTTCTCCATCTTCCTCCATCAGGCCACTCATCCTCCATTCCTCCTTCCCTCCATCCCCGTCCCGTCATCTCCCCATTCCACATTATGAGAATAATGATATATAATATATATATATATATATCTCTGCCTACGGTTTACCGGGCAGTTCTATTTGTGACGATATATATATATATACTGTATGGTTCCGTTTTTTTAAACTATGGATATGGTGATCTTGTTTATATCCCGGTTGGTTTGGAACCGTTGTTCGGGCTATTTCATGGGCGTGGTGGTGCTTTCACGTGGGACCAGTCATTCGGTTTTTTGGCATCCTGGTTGGTTGTTTCCCGTTGTTCGGCCTTTTGAGCGCGGGGCGGTGCTTGTATGTGGGAATCGTTATCCGGGATTGTCTTCCCCCCTTTTTTTGGTTGTCACACTGTGGATCGAAGTTTTTTTTTGCCTTGTATTTTTGGTATGACATCCTGGTTGGTCTTCTCCCGTCGTTTGGCCTGTAGTTGCCGCCGCTCAACCTACATCCACGTGGGCGGCCTTGTACGCAAGAGGTTCTGAACAGGGGAAGTCTTGTAAGGAAGAAGATAAAAAAATAATTCATTTCTAATTCATTTTTTCTTTTTCTTTTTTCGCATTTGCGCTCTCAAAAATTTGTAACGATATATATATATATATACTATTTTGAATTTCAGACTACTTTCTGGTGTGCTGACTCTGCTGAGGTAATCCTCCCTGTAGAACAAAAGTATTCGGCACGACTGAACATTGTCCTGCTTTGCGAGGGCATTTTACTTGTGTTTTTCTTTAAGGGCATTTCTATATTGTGTTTCTTTAAGGGTATTTTCAACGTATTTTCAACTATTTGTATGAGACGGTTTGCAATCACTGTTGTGTCTTTGGATTGAATCTTGCTCGTCCATGTCATCTTCCTCATTGTCTAGGATCATGAGAGTTTTACCTTTTTTTTTTTTTTTTTTTTTTTTTTTATCAGTAAGCGAGCCGACAATCTGCATGTGGACTGGATCTGCACAAGTCTTCTCGATGGCATGTGAACAATCCTGTTTGTGCTTGTCAAAAGCCGTGCAATGCTTTGCTGCCCTGCAGTTGTGTTGCTGTCCATGTGTTGTGCTGCCCCCTGAATTCAGACTGTATGCTGGGAGAGGTGGTCTTGTGCACATGTGATCAATTCTGTGAATCTCCGAAATGGTTGAATGTGATGCTTATATTCTCTTAAGACTTGGAAGGATGCAGAGTTGTCCTGTCCTGCGTGGATATCCCGACCAGATGCTTGCACTGGACCTGTGACAGACGTAGAGTGAATGAGCCGATTTTCTGCTGGAAAAGAGATCTGTGCAGATTCTAGAGAACCACTCTGGGTTCCGTCCCCTCTTTCTTTGCAATGCCTGAACAATCCATGCTTTGTTCTGCAACCTCTGCTTGCCTGAAATGAAGTGAACTGGCATGTGGTACAGCTTGGTCACTTGATTGTCTTTTCCTACGCATGATCATGGCCAATCAACTCAGGGGCCATGCTAATCTTCTTTGTATTGTTCCAATTTCAACGAATGTCTGCAAGGAGTCGGTGGGCTAACTGCAGCCTTGTGCCTGCATGTCGTGTGTTATGACTGTTGCCGTTTTGTTGCAGGTTCCAACAACAACGCCAAAGTGCCTGCTGCTGGAGTTCAAGATACAGTGAGACACTTCCCGGATGTGTGTGTGTGTGTGTGTATGAGAGAGAGAGAGAGAGAGAGAGAGAGAGAGAGAAAGAGAGAGAGAGAGAGAGAGAGAGAGAGAGAGAGAGAGAGGCATCCTAAATGAACCATACTTGGGTTTAGGACCACGCTTGGATGGACCAGGGTCCTGGGACCTTGGATGTTTTTCCATCGCTGTTTTTAATCAACCACGCCTCAGCTTCTTCAACAGTGTTTTAAATGAGTCGTGCTTGGGTTTTTTCAGCAGTGTTTTAAATGAGCCATGATCGGGCTTAGGTCGACGCTTGTGAACTTGGAACCAGGTTTGGATTTTTATTTTTTTTATGTTTTTCTAACTTCTTGTGGTAGGCGACCAGGTTTGGATTTTTATTTTTTATGTTTTTCTAACTTTCATTTCAAACGGCTCTGTCCATATGAAGTTCAAATCTACGGCAGATGAATAATGTTATTATGTTCATCTGCTAGTAATTAGATTTGAACTTCAGCCTATCTTTCCAGTTTCAACAGTTCAGCGGTGTACCAACTGAGTCGGGCCCGTTGGTGCCAGGCTCTGGTACCAATTTCGAATCCACCCCATTGGGACTGACGAATACCTCTCAATGGAGCTTGCTGTGCATGAGGGCATTGAGGGGTTTGGGTCGTCAGATGAATCGGACCGCTCTAATCCCAAACGGAAAAGTGTGCAAGAGGAGTCGAAAACAAGCACTGGGACTGCATCATCTTCTGCAACAGCCCCTGATATAAAACAGTTTAAAGTGCTTGTCCAGACAGCAAAAAAGGAGGAACCAACCCTCCCTTTATCTTGAAAGACGAGAAGGAGAACACTTCTGACTGTTGGAAATCTTTTGCCCATGTCTGTTCCGCTGACGGAGCTCCTGTTCGAGAGCACGGCAGCGGATATGTAGCTTGTAAACGATGTTTTAGAGTTTATGCTTTCACCACCTCGCATGGGACAAGCACCCTGCGACAGCACACATGTCGCAAGGAACCAGAAAGAGCAGGCCTCATGCGCTTGTTTGCCACGTCCGCCGAACCCACAGCAGCACAAAAAAACAAGATGGCTAAAAAAATCGTCATGTGGTGCTGCAAAGATTTGCGCCCCTTCACTGTGGCAGGCGACGAGGTTTTTGTGGAGATTGTGCAGGAAGCCTATGACCTAGGTGTAGCTGTCGGCAAGGCCATGCAAATCAGGAACGTGTTGCCGGTCCCCAACACAGTCAAACGCCATGTTGTTGGGACAGCCTCCTCCATCCGTGAAAAGGTGAAGGAAATGGTGAAGGACCATTTCAATGATGGTGTGCATGCGGGATTTACAGCAGACATGTGGACTGACGAAGTAAAAAAAAAATTGTTCATGTCTCTGACCATGCACTACATCGACAATACTTTTAAATTGCATGCACGCAATTTACAGGTGAAAGCATTCCATGAGGAATCGTACACAGGGCCTGCGATTCTCAAAGGATTTCATGACTGCCCTCAAGAGTTCGTCTTTGCAGCCAGTGTGTAGTGTGCACGGATAGCGGGTCAAATATGGCCGCGGCAGAAGGGATCCGCAAAGTCTATAAGTGGGTACCATGTTCCGACCACAAGATCGCAACTGTCCTGATGACAGTATTCAACAAAACCACGGCAACAACAGATGGAGTTAGGTCTGCACCTTTTTATAGGTATCATGAATTTGCACCGCATTTGTTTGAAATGATCGACAACTGTAAAGAGTTGGTGCGCTATTTCAAACAGGCCAACCTGCAGAACACTTTAAACAAAACATTGAAGCAGGAAAATGCGACCCGGTGGAATTCGCTGTTCATTTCTCTGAACAGCGTTTTGGACAGTTACGATGATGTGGCAGATGTCCTCGCCAGGCTCGCCAACACCAATCGGCAAGCCAATAGACAGTTCCTCATCACGAGGATTGATAAGAACTCGCTTGCAGAACTGACACAATTTTTGAAACGGTTCCACACTGCGACCCTGAAGTTGGAGCAATACCTGGAACCAACACTGCACCTTGTGGCATTCGAGCGCAGTGCTCTGTTGGAGTATTGCAAACCACGTAACGAGTCATACAACTGTGAGGATGACGAAGGTAAGAAATTCACTGTCCCATCAGACTCAGATCACATCATAGCTGTTAAGATGTTGATCAGTGATGTGTTGAAGGACAAATGGATATTGCATGACCTCCATATTGTTGCAGCTTTGCTTGATCCTCGACAGAAAGACAGGTTGGACCGTTTTGGTTTGTCTGAAGCTTAGGTTGATCGAGGAAGGAACTGTTTGCAAGAGATTATGCTTAGTGTTAAGGACGGATACAGCGAGTCAACAGAGGCGCCTGCTGCATCCGAGGTGAAACGGCCAGCGAAGCGGAGGAAGAAAACGTCTGCGAGAGAGATCCCCGATGGGTTAACATTGTGCATCACAGATGAAGATGAGGCGGAGGACCTGCCCATTGCTAGCACAAGGCCACTGACCCTTGCACAACGCATTAAAAAGGAGTTGGAGTTCTATTTTAGTTTGAAACTAACAAAAGAAAAGAAAAAGAAGTTTGAGATACTAGTGTGGTGGAAGGCGAAGGGGACTGTTGCTAAAAATGCAGAGGACCAATTATTGTTCCCACTTTTGCCAATCATGGCGCGTGCTGCGCCTGGAGTTCTGTGTGTTCCTGCGTCGAGTTCCAAGAGTGAGTGCAACTTCTCGGACGCAGGAAATACTATGACAAAGAAAAGAAACCAGCTAAATCCGTCTGTTGTGGATGATATGCTCGTTGTCTGGTCCAACTGCGACGTGGTTGAGAAGACCGGCACATGAGTGTCTTTGGTTTACAGGTTACTGACTTCTTGCAATATGCTCTTTTTTATTTCGATTTAGCGGCTTTTTTTTTTCCTTGCGTATGTCGAGCGGTAAGTGCTAAGTAGGATGATGTGTTGTTTAGAGCTAGATTTGCAAGTTAGCAACCGCAGACTTCAGCACTTTGGCTGATCCCTTGGACAACAGAAAGCATTTTCAAAGGCACTGGTTTAATTTTAATTTTAGATAGGAACATAGGAACAATGAAGAAGTGTTATGGATTTATGATAGAGTCCAGAAAGCACAGACTCTTAACAGACATGGGATAAGAACTTAACAAGTTTTGTTCTTCATGATCTGCAGAATTTGTGTCAGCACTGTTGTTCTTTTTCACCTTTTCATGGGGATAAGCTTTTGTTGGTGCCAAGAATTTAATGTATGGGTGAACTTTATCTCTTTTTTTTTTCGTTTTTTTTCAGACTCTTACCTCAATGAAGCATGTGTGTTTTTCTTGTTGTTCAGCCCTGCTCTTCTTACAGAATTTGGAGTATGATTTTTGCAGATCTGTTTTTTGGACTATTTCCCAACCGAGCAGTTGTGTTTTTCAGATTTTTTCCCAATTGTTGTTAAGAGGTGCTCTTTTTAGAGAAATTGAGCTATGACTCTGCAAGTAATGATCATTTGAGAGGATTTGAATATAATTATTGATTCAATGAACCAATGATAAACATGAACAATTTCGAAAGAAAGATTCAAAGCATGAACTATTTGTCATCAACAATGTAATACTCATCATCAAATATACAACAACAAATTGATCTGGATCTCACACCATAATCAGCCGGCATTGGCAATCAGCAGGCGGGTGTTGAAGTGACAGTATCAGTCTTTAATTTCCAATCTGGCGCCCTCCCCTCTGAGGGTGAAGAGATACAAAGGCAACATCAGTTTTCCAAGCCCACACGGGTCTGCTCAGTTAATCATCTGCTCTGCAGGGCAATCAATGTTGGCAGACACCTCACAGATGCTTCTGGGTTTACACATAAGCCTGCTCGGTCAGTCCCCTGACTGTGCAGGGCAATCAATGCTAGCAGGAACCATGGCCACTCACAAAAAAAAAAAAAAAAAAAAAAAAAAAAAAAAAAAAAAAAAAAAAAAAACTCATTATCAAATAGGGGCGAGGGGCACTTAGGGGCGGTTAGGAGCGATTAGGGGCAGTTAGGGGCAGTTAGGGGCAGTTAGGGGTGGTTAAGGGTGGTTAGGGGAGGGTGGGTTATAGGTGCGGGCGGGCATGGGCGGGTGCATACAGTTGTGGTTGGGACCGGTGGGCACGGGTAATGAAAACATCGCCTGGCGAGGGCACGGGTGGTTAACAAACGGTTCGGGTTCAGGTGGGCATGGGTGGTTAAAAACAAAATTGTCCACGGGTGGGTATGGGCAGTTACATTCCGAAGAGGTCCCAGTTAGGATGGGTACAAGTACATGTTTTTTACTTTTCAAGCAGGTACGGCTAGGTAAGGGACTGACTGGTCAGGTATAGGGTGGTTATGGGTGGTTGGTTTTTAAAGGTGGTGTGGTCAGGTAAGGTACAGGTATTCCTAAAATTCCTAGTTGCGATCACTGATACGTGCTTTGTCAAAGCCGCCTAGGGAGAACGCTGCTGCTGTATACTATAGTCACGCTTGCCGATTAAACCCACCGCCTTGTAGTTAGCTCATCTGCGGAAGGTGATTGTGACTCTCCCTCTTCCTTCTCCCTCCAGCTCGTAGTTCTTCCTCTTCGCCTTCATGTGTGTGTGTGTGTGTGGTTTAGTGACAAGGGACCCCCACTTTCAGCTCCTTGGTTAATGGGTATGTTTTTTTTTTTAATTATTTTTGCCTGTTTTTGTTTTGGTCAAACCACCAGTACTTGGCCCATATATCGGCCGCGGGCCTTAGCGTTAACGCTACGCGAAGTTCGCGCTTCGGGCAACCGGACCTAGAAGACTGGCGCCGCCAGCCTTTCCGAAAACAAAAATGGAATTGGCGCTTCAGCGGGAAACGGCGCGCAGGGCACTTCCAGACTCGGCTGCGATAGCTGGGCCAAGTACTGGTGGTTTAAAGGTTGCTGTGTGTCGAATTTGATGTCATTTCGAGCATTGGAAATTCCTCTGATGACATTTTAAAAATTTCAAAAGATTTCTAAAATTGGAATGTTTGGTTAAAATGACCTTTGGGTTTTGTTATAAACGACGAGACAAATTGTCTGAAATTTTACGCCTCCGTTAGGAGGGATGTAGTGAGGAGGGAAGTGTTTGCAGGGGCTTGAATTGTCTCCGTTGGGCAGAGGGGAGCAGGGGGAGCAAGGGGTGACAATGATCAATGAGCACACATAGTTGGCATTGAGAGGACACATCAGCCCAAGTGCACGACACATGGATGTTCGGGGGGTAATGAAGTTGCTGGAGTTGTAGTGATAAAGGCCATC